TCAGAAGGCTCGGAAGTCCCCTGGCCTCCTGAGAAGTCTTCTAAGCCTTCCCCGAAGACCAACAACAATTTCTCGGAAGGCGCGGGGGCTTCTGAGAAGTCCCGCCGCCTTCTGAGAAAGCCTTCTCCTTCTCACTTCCCCCCCTCGCTCGCCGCCGACTACTGCATCACCCCCTTTCGGCTGGACCCCCTTTTGTCGGGCGATGGCAGGACTGGGTTTAGTGGGACCTGGTTTAGTGATCTGTACCAGGGACGCCCCGCCGTCCCATTCCACTAACCGGAATTGCCGTCACCCGAAAAGCACTAGCTACGGCAGACCTGGTTTAGTAATTCCAATCCATACTTTGGGCTTCGGGGCCCAATCACTAACCGGCTCCCCTTAACCGGGGTCCTGGCTATACCCGATTTGGGGTCGCGAGGGGATGGGCGGCCAGCAGCAGCAGCACGGCAGCGACCTCTCCCCCGGGAGCCTGCTGCGCGAAGCCTGTGGCCTTCGACCAGGCGGAAGCCACCAGCGAGGTGTACGAGCGCTGGCCGGATGCCGTGCCAGCTGCAAGTTCAACCGAGAGAGAGAGAGAGAAAAACAAAAAAAGAAACACACCAGAGCAATACATATATATATATATAACATATATAGCAGAGAGATAGAGAGGGAGAGAGAGGCAGAGACATATAGATAGAGAGAGAGAGAAACAGCTAAACAGACTCAGAGCGAAGGACTTCGAGCGGATCCGAACAGATGGGCCAGGAGTCGAAAGCGAGGTGTGCTTGCCCGAGGACGCGCCGTCGGAACCAAGCAATCAAACTTGATGGGCCGCTGGCCCTTCGCGAAGGACTAGGGAGCCAGTTTGCATATCATAGCGCAAGCCTGCATGGACACTGACACTGATATACGTACATCTACATACATAGATGAGGGGCCGAGCGGTCACCATCCCTCGGTGTGTGCCTGAAGTGGGCTTCCACGGTGAAGAATATGATGATTGATTTTTGCTTGTTCTTTGCGTCGTCCTCGCTCACGACCCGCCGGCGACGTACCCACGATCTACTTTCGAAAATTCGGCGCCTGCGGCGGGCTCGTTGTGCAATGTATAGAAATTCGACGGCTGCGGCAGGCTTCTTCAGAGCCTCGGAGACTGCCGTCGATCCGGCAGCCCCCTCACTCGTATCTGCAACTGCGGAGGGGGGGGGCATAGTACATATGTAGCCCAACACGCTGCACTGCCATTCCACGTTCGAACTCTGCCTGTAAGGGCCGCATGTTTAGCGTCTCGCAGGGCGAAGAAGAAAAGAAGAGACAGGGGGGCCACGAGGAAGACAGCGTAGAGGACGAGGGGAAGGCGAGGACCACGACAAGGAAGACGCGCAACAGGACGATAGGGGAAGACGACGAGGAGGGCGATCACGATAATGCGGAGGACTACACCAACGACGAGGAGGTAGGAGGACGGCAGCGTGGCTGAGAACGAGGTGGAAGACGACGAGGATGGCATGGATGACGAGAGGGAGAGCAACAAAAACGATAATGAGGACGAGGCCGTCGAGAACCAAGAGGGCGACGAAGATGACGAAAGGGACAAGAGAGTAGAGGGCAATGACTACGGGGAGGACGACCAGGAGAAGGGCAACGCGAAGGACAGCGTGAAGGACAATTATGAAGACAGTGAAGGAAGAGAAGGAGGGCGACAAGGAGGAGCACGACGGAGACGAGGAGCACAAGGAGAAGTACATGGAAGAATTTGGGGTCCTTTTGGACCTATCGGGGCTACGCACCCTGGGGGGCACTGGGACCGCCTCGGGCTGTCCTGGGGCCTGTTGGGAGCCTCTTGAAGGCCTTCTGAGGTCCTCTTGGGGGCTTTTGAGGCATTGGTTGCTTCTTTTCTGAAGTTGTTTCAGTCGCAACCACCCAGACATCTTACTGCTCCAATTTTTTCGATGCGTGGGCGCCGGAGGTCCAGACCACTTCCCCAGGGCCGGTTTTTCATTACGAGTCCTTTTGTGAAACGCTCTCGAGGCCCGGCGATGGCCCCTGGAGGCCGAAGCCTGCCAGAATCCTGTTGCTCCAATTCTTGTTGGAGCGTCGGATCTCTAGGCAGGCGGCGACGCTCCAGGATGCCCTCGTCTTCCAGCTACCAAGTCCAACGGGTGAGGCCATACGCGGGCTGCTCGTCTCCAGACACCGGCAGCGCCAGGCTTGACATCGCCTGTTGTTGGCCCACCGCAGCCCGTGGCCAGCAAGTGGCAGCAAGAGCCAGAAGGGATTTCTGCATCTTGCTCTCGGACCGACCGCAGCTTGCGAGGGCGGTGACCGACGACCTTCTCTGGCGGAAGATGTGAACGTGCGCGTGCAGCAGAGCCGTGGAAGTGTACCTATCGGGAGAAGGGGAAGAAGAGACGGGAGATGCGATGCGATGCGACCCGCCTTCCCGCCCCTATGGGGCGGTCCTCTCAGAGGGCAGGCGTATGGGACACGCAGTCCCGGCAACTAGGTGCGTTGGAAGATTCCTATCGCCAGTTTGGAAGAAAAGTATCACAGAGAGAGCTGCACTCACACCGGGCATGACGAGTGTGCTGAACAAGAAGAGGCGAGAGAGGGAGGGGGGGGGGGACCCGGGGAGGGAGTGCCAGGACAGGACGGGGGTGGGCAGCGGGGCCCTCAGGCCCACGCTCCAGCCACAGCTGGGAGCAGAGCGGGCCTGGGCCGCACCAGCCAGCAGGACCTCTCGCCGGCGGGTGTGAGAAACTGGCGAGAGTCGGAAGCAACTGGAGCGTACCAGAGTTAGAGATGGTGCAGGTGTCGGAAGCAATTCGGCAACACTCATGCAGAACACATGGCTTGAACTCCCCCCCCCCAAAAAAAATACTATGTTGGTCTCGGATCTTCCGATGTTGGGCCTCCGAGTGGTCGTCAAGGAACGTGCCAAATTTGAATTGCGGGGGAGGGGGGGAGTACTGCTTAATTTCTTCCCTCAACCGTATCCTCTCTCTCTCTCTCTGTCACGTTTTCGCAAGCACAGGCCCGCTGGCAAGCTGTCAGCCGATCAGCGCCGCGGCTGCTGCGCTCACGTCGCCGCGCGCGGCAGCGAGCGCCACCTGGGCAGCGGCTTCTGGGAAGCCCATGTCCAGGAGCTGCCTCAGGGAAGTCTCTTCCGCTGTCGCGGCGCCAGCATCCCGCGCGCGGTCTGCGGCCAGACTCTCCTGCAGCTCCCTGTCCTGCTCCTCCACCAGGAGCCGCCGCTGCCGCGCCTCCTCCGCCAACTCTGACGCCCGCAGCGCTGCCAGCAACTCGGCTTCGCCTCCAGGCGGGTCGCCAGCCGCTGGTGCCGCAGCGACGGCATACAGGGCACGGTGCTCATCCTCGGCGCCAGCCAGCCCGAAGCCTGTCTCAAGTGCGCGCCGAATCGCCCCGGGGACGGCCCTGTTTTGGTCGACCTCCGAGCCGCTGAAGTCGCCGTAGTCGTTCGACAGCGCGTCGTCGATACCGAGATCAGCAGTGCTCCAGGCATCCTGGGCCGCGCGAAATTCGCTGTCGAACAGAGACGATTCGGCCATCTGTGATAGTCGTGATGCGCAGGCGTAAAGCCACTGCTGCAGCGCGCTGTCTCGCCATAGCGGCGCGAAGCGCCTGGCGCAGGCGTCACCGAGCAGGGCAAGCGCCAAGAAGTGCCTAGAGTGGCGCGTCATCTGCCCAGCCCTGACGAATGGAGGGTGGCCCAGTATGTCGCTCCATGTCCGGCGGCTAGTGGAGCTGGGCGGAGGCGCCTCCACGTTGACGCCGAGCGCATCCAGCAGCGGCCGCAGAACCTGCGGGAACAGCAGCATGGCCCGCGCCAGCCTCGCGTGAGGCCCGTTCGCGCCGGGCCCCTCCTCGGCGGGGCCAGCGGCGGCGGCCCTGGGCTCAGCGGCCAGGGGGCCCAGGACGTGGGCGACCTCGAGCAGCCGCAGCGCTTCCTCCCCCGAGTCCGAGGGTGAAAGGTGCCTCACGGCTAGCGCGGCCGAGTACGCGAAGTTTGGCAACGAGCAGCCCAGCCCACGCGCCCCGCCACCGCCGCCCCCACTCGGCAAGTCCACGCATGGCGCGAGCAAGCCGTCGGCCAGCGCGAGCAGCGCCCGGTGCTGACCTGAGCGCAGGCAGAAGAAATCCAAGTGGATGAGTACGTGCATGGGGTCGCGTGGAAGCGTCATGGCGATCAGCAGCTTGCCCACTTCTGTTGCAGTTCGGTGCAGCCCCTGCGACGCGAGCGCCATCATGTACTCCCACAGGGCCCACAGCCAAGGCCAGCCAGGCCAGCCAGGCTCCGCAGTCGCGGGGAGCTCCAGGCGCACGCAAGGCCAAGGCGGCTCTCCTGCTGGGGCCAGTGGGGAGAAGCCAGCGCCGAAGCCGCACTCCACGGCGTACACCGCCCGGCGCGTCAGCGAGAACGCCTGCTGGTGCTCGCCGGCCCCACGACAGACGTCGGCAAGGATGAGCAGGGCCTCCACGCAGAACGGCCGTTCCATCAGGAACTCCTGGTGGGACGGCGACAACCAGACATTGACACAGATCCTGACCACCCCAATCCTGTAACGCCCTCATGGCATAGCCAGGACGGCTTATGAACCGATCCTGGGCCCTTGATGGGCCTGGTCAGGATTGGTGTCGGTGTTCACTCGTCGTCGTCGTCGTCGTCGTCGTCGTCGTCGTCGTCGTCGTCGTCGTCGTCGTCGTCGTCGTCGTCGTCGTCGTCGTCGTCGTCGTGCGACCTGGATCTCCCCCACGTCGTGCAGCATCTGCAGCGCCGCCAGCTCGCGGCAACTCCTCGCGTGCTGCGGCGTTGCGCGGATCTGGAACAGAGGCGCCCCGCGGGCGTCCTGGCGGCCCGCCTGCGCCATCTCGGCGTTCCCGTCTGGGCGGCGCCAACGTTCCTCGGAGGTCGGCTCGACCAGGAAGAGGCGCCGATGGTGCGCGAAGTGTCCCTCCTTCAGCTGCCCGCGCGCCCGCGATGCAGGCTGCCGCCCGGCCTGGATCGCAGGGGGTGGGGAAGGGGCGACGAGGGACTGGGGGACGGGGAGGAGGGGGGCAAGGAGTGGGAAGAGAAGGATATTGACGAGGAGGGGGAGAAAGAAGAGGAGGAGGAGGAGGAAGAGGAGGGGCAGAAGGAGGAGAAGGAGGAGGAGGAGGAGGAGGGAGAGGAGGACAAGGATAAGGAGGAGGAGGAGGAGGAGGAGGAGGAGGAGGAGGAGGAGGAGGAGGAGGAGCGAACGTCGCTCCAGAGGAAGAGTCGCCTACCTACCCGTGCGTGCACGTGCAGTGTCAGGGCAACAAAGTACGTACTGTGGCCCAGAACCAGGATGCGCTGAAGTGATAGCGTGCCACTGGTGCGTCAGGCAAAGCCTCAAGACCGACCAAACGAGCGAGTCATCGGGGGTCGAGGCGTGGTCCCAATGAGACCCAAAACAAAGCTTCAGTATTACAGAGTTAGAACAAAAACAAAAATCCCTAGGAAAACAGGCGGACCACCACGGGCGCCGCCACCTCAAATATTGTGACATATTGTCAGATTCATTCTCACACCCAAGCTTACAGGGGACCGAGCGACTATTAGTGACATGCATTCTGGCCACTGTGGGCCATGCGCCGCGCATTGCTTTGATCACCGCCCACCTCACCCCCATCCCTCTATTGCGCAGGACGCACTTAAGCGCCTCCCATCTCTGCGCCAACACACATGTGGCGGGCACACGGGCGTGCCACGCAGCCGACCTTTTCTTCCTCTCACGATGGGGCTGCGCCAGCCAGGCAGCCTCCGTTGCCAACGTCCGCCTCTCCGCGGCGCACAGACAGGCCACCGTCCGATGCCCGTTCCTGGGCCTGCTGGTCAGCGTGCAGCTCAACGGCGCGTCCTTGAGGTGGCGAGCAGGCCCTCGACGATCCTGCCACCACGACGAGGTGAAGAGGTCCGTCGGCAGGTCCGCCAGCCTGCCCAACGCCTCGCCCCACACGTCGTAGCCGAAGCTCTCAACGCCCTCGAGGAAGGCGAGCCACTCTCTCGGCAGCTTGCACGCCGCCCTCATCCACGCCGTCGCCGCCGAGTCGAAGAGGGAGAGCGGCGCCGTGACGCCCGAGGAGGGGCCCAGCGACAGGAGGTAGTCCTTCCTGTCCGACTTCGTCAGCACGCACAGCGGCACGTGCAGCAGGTCCCACTCCTTGCCCCCGCGCACATCGGGGATCGGGGGGATCATGGCCACGTCTAGCAGGCACGGGATCTCCAGCCCCTTGTACGCAGGTGCCACTGCATCATTGTACAGGGCGTTGGCTCCAAGCGCTCTCATCCTCGCCGCATACTTGGACAAAGGGTCGTGCCACAGTCTGGCGAGGTCAGCGCCTGGCCCCAGCCAGCAGCCCAGGTACTTCGTCATGGAGTCGACCGAGCAGCCCAACCAGCCAGCAGTGCACACCCCGAGCGCGCTCTTCACGAAGATCATGCTCGCCTCCGAGATCGGCGCCCACAGCGGCACCAGGAAGCACTTGGCCAAGTTGTGCTTCAGGCACGTTAGCTTCTGCCTGTCATGTCCAGGAGCCACATCGCGACCTCGCTGAGCTGCCCGTAGTAGATCCTCCTTGCTGTAGGCAAAGTCCTCGCGCGTGCTGGCGGGCGCTGGCCATCGCACGATGTGCTCCCTGGCCGCCACCTCGTCGAAATCTTTCTTCCTGAAGATGTGGCCCCAGTACTCACGCACTGCAGCCAGAATAGCGTCAGCGTTCTTCATCGTGACATCGAATGGCCGCACGGGGACGCTCTCCAGCTCATGTGGTGCAGGGAGCTCTTCCATACCCCGCACCTTGACGCCGCTCAGCTGCCAGGCGGGCAGCTTGCGGAGCCACAGCTGGGCCTTCTTCACTATGCTGCCCTGCTCCCGCTTCCAGTACTCGCCCTCCAGCGCCTGCACCGTCGCGCAGGCGCAACGGACCCGTCTCGCAGCGCCCTTACGCCGCACACCCAGCATCCGTTCCATGGTGGAGCATACGACTTCCCCGAAAACCAGAGTGCCGTTCGCCAGCACCTTGCCATCTTGAATGCGCAGGTGCCTCCGAGCCAAAGGAAAGAACTTGATCAGTAAGGGCGCCGTGGTGCCATCGTTCGACCAGACCGTCTTGGCCACCGAGCGCATCACCAGGGGGAAGAGCTCCGCGCCCTGCGAGACGTTCTGCAGTTCCGCGAGTGCAATCATGCGGTCCCTCGTGCCCTTCGCCGCTGAGACCAGGGGCCGCTTGGCAGTGGCCCACTCCTCTTGAACGTCTCCATCAGTTCCTCGCCAACGAGGCAGATCCGTCGGCATGCGATAGTAGCGTCGATCCTCCACTGGGTGGGTGAAGTCGCCGCCCACATCGCAGAGCTCCTGCAGCGGGGACCTGCGCACCTCCCTCATTGCCCTCCGCCAGGTTGTCGCCACTCTCAACTTGTCCTCCCCGCTGCGATCGTGGTTGTGCACGTTGATGAGAGTGACCCCGACACGGCACTCTTCAGCCTCTGCAGGCATGTGTGTGGCCGAGTCGGGCTTCCACGCCATCATCCAGACCTTCATCATTAATACCCGCTCAGGGCCCATCTCCGAGGTCGTCGAATCTGGGTGCCACGAGGGTTGCATCTCCTCCCCGTCATACTGCTCCAATGATGGGATCAGCATGGCCACACCTTCGCCACATCCCTCGCGAAGCGCAGAGAAGTGGAACTTGTAGGGGTACGTCTGCGAGCGCACGAACGCCTCCAAACTGCCCACCGCGACATGCGTCTCCTGCATCATGATTAAATACTTCTTTGCCATATACGACCACAAGGTTGCAAGCTTGCATCGCCTACGAAGAGGATCCCGTAGAAGCAAACCACGCGCATCCCACGATATGACCTTCAGGTAGCTATTGAATACCTCCTTGTAATGGTACTGCCACAGACGCCACCGCGCCGAGCGAGTGTTAGGGACACCACTGTACCTCTCTGGAGCCACTGCCGACCATGCGATTGAACACCTCCTGCACCTTGCTTTTGTCGATGCCCAGGTTCGCCACCATCGGATTGTTCCAGCGCAGCTCCGTCGGGGCATCCTCTTCCGTGACCACGATACTGGCCACCTCCACATTGTCAAACTTGACCTCCCCCTTCGCTTTGTTCGACCACCAGCGCCCAGCTCCTCCACGCACTTCCTCCAGAGCTTGGCCAAGGCGCTTGGTGTGGAGCTCCACCCGCAACGCCCGCTTGGACTTGTCCGCGTTGATGTACATCTTGCGGCCACCTGCCGTGAAGCTCCTCCACCCACCCGGCATGCGGAGGTGCGTGACCAACCTTCTTGGCGCGTTCGTAGCCCACCACACCGCCCGTGAGCTCCAGCACGAAGTGTTTCCCAGACGGGAGGGAGTGCAGCGAGTACTGACCGCTCGACACCGTGGCAGCCTTGAACCATTCCTCGAGGCCGCAGATAATCTCCGCGCTCGTGACACTCGTCTCGACCTGGATTTGGAAGATGTTCGGCGCGGCGGGTCTGTCCCACATCTCCTGCTTAGCTGCCTGAAAGAGTGGGACCTGGGCCTCCGCGCGCTCCAGAGCCTCCGAGATGCTCTGGACCGCTGCGCGCAGCTCCTCGTTCGACGCCTCGATCCTGTGCTGCCAGTCTCGCATGCGAGCAACATCCGCATCGACCACCGCGAACCGTGCCGAGCACTCCTGGGCGTGGGCGGCAACGACCGTGGCCATCTTGGTCTGGGCCGCCGACGTCGTTGCGTGGAGATTGGCAGTCGCCTCGGCCAGGATCCGCTCCAACTCCTGTGCGACGCTGGCGGGCAGCCCTGCGGCAGAGGCCAGTGCCGAAGCTCCTCCCCCCGACGGCGCGGCCTCGACAGGAGCAGCAGCATCTGCTCCAGGTGGGTGCGCTCCCTCCGTGCAGCTCCTGCCTCCACGTCCACCACCATGACGCCAGGGGTCCCGCTCTTGTGGATGATCACGCCCGCGATCACGCTCTCTATGCTGTCTTCGTCGGCGCCGACGAGCACCTTCTCCACTGCGGGAGGCAGACCGCCCGCCGTCTGATGCATCGCTCCGACTCGAGGATATGTTGCTGCCCCCAGTACGCCCAGCAGCGCCAGCATCACAGCCGTCGCCACCCTGCATGCCCTCCCGCACAGGGCCCATGGCTTTGAGTCTGGATGCGCTCGGGCCGGCAGGAACGGGAAAGGCCTCCGTTTACCCACCGACCCGAGCGCTGGTGTGGAGAACCAAAGAAGATGCCAGACCTCAGGAAGTCTTGCCAGCCGCGGACTAGCGGTATCCGCGTGTTCCCCTGAGGAACTCATCATCTTGAGCCAAAATGGCTACGGCGGAGGAGGAGGAGGAGGAGGAGGAGGGGGGCTGACTTGCTCATCTGATAACTCCCAATACGCTGATGAATGTGCAATGTAATCGGGCGGGTGTATTCGCTATTCAACCTGATAGCAACGGGAATAACGGAAACATGGTGATGATCCTTGTTGCACGCAGTACCAGATCACACTTCACGGTGCCAAGCGCCAAAGTTCAAGCCACCCTGTCAGCACCTTCAGCGAAAGTGCTGCGCGGCGCAGGCTTGCGAGCGCAGGAGGCGGCGGATGGCGATGGCGGCATAACGATGCACAACGAAGATGTCACTTTCAGCCGTCCCCGCTCACAGGCCACTGTCGCCAAGCAGGGCGACCACCCGGCAGGCCCTCCAAACGCTGCCTTGTCACAGTAACCACAGCGGCAAGGCAACCTGGAGTTGCGCAACGGCTGATGGACAAAATCCTGCGCCTTTTGTTCGATTTTTGTTTTCGCCCCCTGCGCCCCCAATTTAGTATTGGCAGGCTGTGGCGCGATTTGTCGATCTGCCGACTGACCTAAATCATACACCCCGTGGGCGCAGCCAATCAACATTGAATCGGGGGCAGGGGGGGCGCGTGGAAGTTTGCGCCGTCGCCTGGATTTTTGTCCATCGACCGATTTGCGCGGGTGGTG